TATGTTATACACACTAAGAAATTATTACTGACTTCGGTAATTTTTTCCGAACTTTCAACAGCTGAACGTTCGGTGAAACTTTGACCCTCATTTCAAAAGCTGTTTCACTACATGGATTACTTAGTTGAAGATGCTAATTTCGAATAACTGACTGAAGTGGTAATTTTTATACGATAGATGAGGAGGAGATGAAAGTATAGAATTGATAGTTACGGCAGTGTGAAAACTTGTCAATATACTGTCAGTCTTGTATAAATAATCGAGTCTTGCCATTGTGCTGAAGTTTTCCTAGTTTTGAAGCCTTATGAATTAAAATGCCTGATTTTTACCGAACAGTTCAGCTGTTGAAAGTTCGATAAACATTACAGAAGTCGGTAATCATTTCTTAGTGTGTACGCTCCATTGGATAGTGCACTTTTGTAAACGGATTTCGGCTGAGCAATAGACTGGCTAGTACCAAGTGACATCTAAAAAAATACAATAGATATTTTTTTTCATCTGTAAAACCAAAAAAATAAATTAAAAATTTGCTACAGAAAATTGAAAAGTAACAATAAAAAACATATGTTTGAGTTGTGGAAAATCTTGAGTGTTCCATAAATAATTGAAAAATTCTCCATCATAAATCTTATGTAACAATACAAACACCAATTTGGGCACTAAGAAAGTGCCAATAAATAAATCAAAGAACGCACATTTATTAATTTTTGCAGGCAATTTGTGATTCTTTTTCAGTGTGTATATTTTTGTTTGCCTAACTTGTGAATATACCGATACTCCATCTGTGAGTGACGGTTCCAACTATCAAGGGGGTTATAGCAACAATCAATACGAAACTAACGATTTTAAATTGGCTCACCACTTTAGTAGCCTATTGGTCCCAAGCAAACGATGAACGTACCCTATTCTAGTTGAAATTTTATTACTACACTATGTTTGTTTTGATTCGCTATGAAAGTTTGACAGATAACATCAGGGGTGTGTGGATTCATGCAGAACATGCAGGGGTGAGTGAAATAGCTTGGGACTGCTTGGGACCGTTGTTCTGGTACTGAGTGAGCCAAAAATAATAATGATTTTCTTCGGGACCCAGTGGTCTTAGAGTTACCTCTATGGTTATAGTGTTTTGCCCACGGTGCTCATACTACTCGAAATGAGCAACCACCACTCATACTAGAGTAATCGTGAAGTGGAATAGGCTCACCCCGAGATCGAAAATGACAGGTGGGCAGGAACTCACGGTCTCCCAGTGTTGGTGAGTTCTTTGCCGTTAATGTTCACGAAAAGTTCACTATTTTGCCATACAGAAATTCAAAACAAAAAATTTTATCTGCGGATTTGGACAGTTTTTGACCTGTTTCATACGACCGGAAGGTGTATGCTGGTCACAAATGCCGTGCCAAACTGATTGCCTACGCAATTAATCAATCTTTGATGTGAATTTCGCTAATAATCTTATCTTATAGCAAACATGCCATAACAAAATGGGCATGGTTCATTTTAGTAAACAAACTAACACTTCTTCCGACTGTGTCACCTCTCTTACTCGCCTGGGGCTCACCCACACGCAAGCCAACATGTGAGTGCCAGCTGTTCTAATGTTATTAGTATTAACTGTGGAAAAGGACGTATTAAAAGGTATTAGGGGAAGGTTTCTAGGACTTGTGGAGGAGCCAACAAGTATAAACTGGGAACCAACGGTTACTTGATTGATCGCGAATATAACATCTGACCTAGAAATTCCTCCAATCATTTTTTCTTTTTTTATTATCTATTGAATAAACCAAAAATTCCATGCGTTTTGTGCATGAAAATGCGTAGTTTTGTCTTCAGAAAACGAGGCGTTTCCGTGATGGGAAAAATTGGTTTCTCTAACACAGTCGCCGAATATTGATACCGAGCACGTAATTCTATCGTCGGTCTTGGATACAACCTCTTACTTTTTCATCTTTTGCATCTAAATCCATCTACTTGCATCGCTCTCCACCTTTTTGCAGTATAAGACTACTTTCCGCCCCGGAACCACTGAAGGGAACTCCCTAAAGCCCCAAGCTGCTGGTCTTAACCAACGGCAACTCCCGGGGTGGGCACTACAGTCCCTTGTAGGTTCCGGGTCTCAGGGCGTATTGGCGTGGGAGAGTTTTCGGATATGAGGAGACCTGAAATTATGTTTTTTTTTGACGTAGGACTACTTCTTTGATTTCTATATGGGGGTACACTTTGTGAAAACTGAAAATGGAACATGTAACAAATTAAGAGAGATTTTGAACGTTAATAACTCAGCTGCCCCTAGTCCAATTTCAATAATTTTATCACCAATCGATCAGAAATATGGCTACGCATCGATAACAATGCTCAAAATTGTTGATTTTCAGCAAGAAACTATTGAAAAACTGGTAAATGTCCAGCATTGTCCAAAAGCGACGAATTAACTAACAAATCCACCAATTACCTACATGCATATGCTGCTTCCCCAGCACAGTCGTCAGAGAGTAGTAAGTAGACGAAACAAGTCGAAGTGACATTCGCCTCCGATCCTCGGGCGCGTGCGAATAGGGTGGATGGAATTGCGTAATATTTTGCACACTCATCGCCATATTCAGAACCAAACGCAAATTCTTCGAGATAACCACCATCCGTCGTCTGGCTCGCCGTGGCGGTGTCTGACGTATCTCCGGTCTGATTTACGAGGTGTCCTGAAGGTGTTTCTGAAAAATGAGATCTCTCTTTGGTTTCGGAGGTTAAGTCATCACCAACTTTGGCAACAAGACGGCTCTTTTCAGGACCACCAAGCTTATTACAGTAAAGAGTAGGAATAGAATTCATCTGCCTGTTTGTAAATATTCAGAACCAACGATCACACAAAATGCTCATGTAATCAAACTGGAAGCAGGGGTACAAATTATGTTGATCAACCTTGAATCGCCACGGCTGGATATTTTCGATGGAAGAAGCAACAATCTAGCATCTAATTCGACGAAGACGGCAGGAAACATTTGTGAAGCCGAGTTATTTACGAAAGAGAGTGTCTATGAAGGGAATCGATCAATGTAGATAGGACCTATTGAAAAGTGACGCGAGATTTGTTTTCCGTATTGAGCTCCAATGCTACCGACGCCAGGAAGGCAGCTCCCACACCTGGACCCTACCAATCGACCCATCAACTCAACCGGGGACCAATGGCTTTACTTCCCGAAGGAAGGCGTGATCAGAGATGTTATGCTTAGAACATGCCTGTGGCGCCGACTTAGATTGGACCCAGGCCTGCTGGGCAGGGTTGCCAAAAGGAAATCTGTTTTTTTGTTCAAAAAATCTTTTCATCTTAGTTTTTGTCCAGAAAATCGGTGATGATATCTGTGTTGATAATTTTTTAATTGAATCCTTAAAAAATGGCATTTGAAAAGTGATTGAGCAATTTTTCTGGTAGAGACAAAAAATAGATAAAAATATATGCAGGATAAATTGGCAAAAAAGAATACCTCTGACAGTTCTCATTCTCCTTTTTCATTCCGCAAAAAAGCATGCATAGATATAAAAGTTTGTGATGATAAAATTACACTGAATTTTCACTATGTGTTGTTATTAAACATCTCAAGTTTAATTTATAAAATGTTTGCTCATATTTAAAAAAAATCTGTGTATTCTGTTAAAATCCTAGAAATCTGTAATCTGTGAATACAAAATCTTGGTTTTAAAAACTCTGAAAAATCTGTAGAAAAACAGATTTATCTGTAGTTTTGGTAACCCTGTTGCTGGGGTGAGAGGTAACGCTAACCACCGGCGCCGATATCTTTCAAGGTTATATCACGGCGAATGAGAACGACCCAAATTTGAGTTTGATTATCTCAGAAATAGAAAATAAAGTGCAGGAACTCAGCGATGAGTAAATTTGCCTCATGTTTTCCCAGATTTTTCCAGGATTTTTCAGGGAAAAATTCCCGAATTTGAGAAGTAAAGATTGGATTCACTCAGTCTATTGGTACTACTCCGAGACTGAATGAAATTTTCGTCAATTTCCTCATTTTCTGGCAGATTTTTTAAGTTTCCCACAGGAAACCATGAGACAAATTTACTCATCGCATAGTTCCTGCACTTTTGGCGATTATGAGTGAACTAAACTCAAATTTGGGTCGTTCTCATTCGCCGTGTACGCAAAAGGAAAAGAGCCAGTGTCGCTACTTGATAGCAAACTACTCATAATGGGAGGAGTCTTTGTAGCTTTTATACCACTTGGTTGCACATCATTCTGCTCTAACCTGAAAATATATAAAAGAGCGCTTCTGTATGGCATTAGCTCATTTCGCTTCGGACGGCGTGGTGAACAGCAATAGCAGCAGTAGGAAGGTGGTGGCTAGTCCACTCCTTCACACCTAACAAGCAACAATTGACTGGTCGTGGCAAAGGAGGAAAAGGTCTGGTAAAGGAGGCGCCAAGCGTCATCGCAAAGTTCTTCGAGATAACCGCCATCGGTCGTCTGGCTCGCCGTGGTGGTGTCAAACGTAACTCCGGTCTGATCTACGAGGTGTGCTGAAGGTGTTCCTGGAAAATGAGGTCCGTGATGATGTCACCTACACTAAACACGCCAAGCGTAAGTGGCCATGGATGTCCTCTTCAATAAAACGGCCCTTTTCAGGGTCATCAAGCTTACATCAGTTAAGAGTTGGAATAGAATTTATCTGGTGCTTGTTTGTCCATATTTAGAACCACAAGCCCCAACGACCGCACAAAATGCTCTCCAGAGTTGTAATCTTGTAACCAAACTTGGAAGCAGGGATGCAAGTGATTTTGATTGACTCTCTTAATCAACTTTCTCTTTGAAAAAAATTACTACAAATTTGATGCGCCTACAATTCAAAAACGGAAAGAGTTGAGATAATAGATAATTGATCAATTAAAAGAACTAAATGATCTTCACATTTATTCCGTCCACTAGCGATCCTACGTCAAGCTTCCGTGCGTGCCCCTAGGCACAGACCCTTCTACTTTTTTTTTTTTATTACCTTGCACTTTATAAGCCAGCGATGACAGTGGGGCGGGACAGTATCGAACGGTGCTCGGCTGGTGGTTCGGCTGACTCTGGGCCGGAAGCGGTGATGATAGCAGGTGGTTCGGCAGACCCTGGCCGGGAAACGACGATGGTATCGAAAGGTGATCGGCTGGGGGTTCGGTCGAAACTGGCCGGGAAGCGCTGATGTCAGCAGGTGGTCCGGGCGACCCTGGCCGGGATACGGCGATGGTAGACGCCCGTGTGGGTTTGCCGGTAATCCTGGCTCTAAACGGCGACGAAGGTAGCCCGGGAGGTATTTCGGGTGCTGACCGGCTGCCGGGTGGGCAACGTGAGGACTTGAATGGTCGGGGTGATCTGGGCTTTGCCGGGTAGTCAACCTGCAGGGGCCGACGGCAAACAATGGCGGGCCATTTACGAAGCATTGACTGTCCGCAATGCGGTGGCGATTGATGTCCGACTGATGATCGACTGGCAAGCTGGCGGACTGACCGGGCAGATTCGTGAATATCCGGGTAACTTGGCCGGTGCCAGGTTGATTCGGCCGACTATAGAATAAGCCAGGGGCGACTAATGGTGGGTTGACCGTGAAGCCGGGTATCGATTTAAACTGGAGTGGCAGTACGGCGTCGAAAGTCGTCGGACAGAATAACAAGCGGTTCGACTTGGCCGGGGAACGGGTGATGGTCAGGTCTCCTAGCGGTCCAGAAAACAAAAGCGTTCTCCCACCGCGTGGCTTGGACCGATGGCGAAGGTGACTCAAATTTCACACCACACGCAACAAACTTTCATTATCACTTCTACGAGGGCTCACGACTTACTGCCTAAATCTACTGACCGTCGGGCTCTCTCTTACCTCTTCTCATTGACCGTGGTGTTGCGTTTCTCTCCATCCGCCCCCGATCGTAGGCAGCCTTCACTCCTATATCCTAGCTTCTACACTGTACACAAACATCATCCTCTGATCGAATAAAACTTCAGACCATTCAAAACAAAACACCGAAATCGCTTTTTCGAATGATAGCTGCAACCGGATGACGGTTGTTTTGAAATCAGATGATTTTCCTCTCGAATACAGGATGAAAATTGTTATGAGAAGGGATAGGGCCTTCAGTTGAAGTGCGTAATGCTCTTTGCAGAATGACTGTCATACTAAATGGAAATGCATATGGTATTGGTTCAGCCCCATAACGCAAATCATTCAAAACGATGATGTTAATAATTCTATAGAATGTCATTTGCTGATCTGAGCTGATAAGCGAGGTAGAAGCATATGCATCGCTATCAGAGCTGTTACAAACATAGGTAAAGGATGAAAACCAATGTTTGGCTAATTCGTGGTGGAGGAGGTTTTCTCCACCACGAAAAAATTTTGTATCCATAATGGAATGGCTTATTATGGCTATTTATGCAGTATGGAAATGTAGATAATCAAATTATAAATCTTATTAAAAGCACTTGCATGTCATACTATTCTTAAATGTTTGCCGTATGTTTTACAGCTAATTTTCAAACGAAAATCATCCTGTATTTGGATGGCAGTCATATGGATGTTTATCATCTGACGACGAATTCAACCATAAGAAAATCATCCAAAATTCGAATGCATATTGTTAAAGGGCTCGAGCAATGCAATAATCATTCGAAGTATTGCGGATGTTTTGGTTAGTATATCATAGCCAATAAATGATTTCCGGCAAAATGTGTGTGTTTGTGCAACGTTATCTACACCCACTATAAATACAAATAAACAATATGTATATCAGTATCTCGAATACATCCGCCATGGCAGGACGATCAAGCAAACTGTGTGTTTTATTAATTTCATCTCTGTAGCTATCACAACGATCATAAACACAACGTAGGGATCCCGCCCGTGCGAGATCAGTGTGTATGGGCCCAATATTAGGGACACTTAGTTGGAAATTATGGACATTCTCCCTATCTAATGATTTCATAATTCCGTAGTGAGTGGGAGCAACCTTTGACAAAACTTTCGCTTCCCTCATTCGTATCCAGAGCATGTGATAGTTGATGTGAAAGTTCAAAGTGCAGGGCGTTGGTTAGACAACGCCAATCGATATATAGGTAGTACTGCTCTGCTGGTGATGTCATGTTATCATTGAAGATGGAAGTTTGTATGGATCTGGGTCACGTGAAATGGTAATTGTTATGGAAGAAAATCAAGTAGTGAATCGAGAGAGCTCTAGTCACTAACGATGTTGACAGTCTTAATACCGAACCTGCAACAAACTCGCTTTTCAGCAACGTTCAGGCGCATCGATACGCACATGGTGGGTATAGCATGGTGATACACCTTTGTCACTATATAGGCAAGTGCGGTTTTAGAGAAAATTGTAAACAAACTCGGTCGCTGTCCCACACAAAAATCCAACATGGCTGAATAATGAATTTGACAATCTAGAACTAGGGCATCCCACTCTAAACTTAAGGTCCAATATAATAAATATTTTAAAATATGTCATAAGTATTTTTAAGTATTTTCAATCTTGGTTTACTTTCGTCGTAGTGACCGGTTGCTGACCGACCGATTTACGATTATTTGTGGCGTATTTAATTGTTATAGTAATTTTAATCTCACAGCAAAAAAATAATGTTGATATCACATCAAAGTGGATGCACTACAATCATGTCGAAAATTTCATGTGAAAGCACCGTAATGTCAGTTCATGCATTGTATTAATGATAATTTTGTCCTTTTTAGCAAGTAATATTACACCATATTTTCGACATGATTGTAGTGCATCCACTTTGACGTGATATCAAAATTATTTTTTTGCTGTGCTGATTTAATTGAAATTAAGTTTGTAATCAGATTGAAGAGTAAGAATTCTGTAACAATTAAACTAATTTTCGCTAACCAATTGAAGAATTCATACTATTTGTTGCAATTTTATACTAACTGTTCAATGCACTACGAAATATTTGGACGCCATTGCAGAGACGTTTTTGGTTTCTCGGGAAAATACGAGACATTTCATGCAAGAGGCAGAATTATGACAGTTAACAAGTGTCAAAACCGTGGAAGCCATGCAGACTAAGGTTTATTAAAAAAAAATTTAATTTTCAGAGAAGAAACGTCCTCCGGAGTCATTGAAGAACGTCAAACTGATCTTCATCACGCCCGTCCGTCCGTCAAAGGCTAAGAGTAGTTTGGACATGATTTTTTGCTGAGAATCGTAGATGTTAATGGGGTGTTTCTGTGCGGAGTTGCTCCTGAAATCTCTTGCTAGTAGACGCTGATGCCCTGTTGACATTATGCTGGCTATTTTTTTGCACAGTGCTAGTACACTAGCGCTAGCAAATCCGCACAGATGAAAATACCCCATAAAGATGGTTAAGGATGCTAGAGCAACGCTAGTCATTTACCAGAGAGCCATGACGGCGAAGTGTACCAATTACATCTACAGCAGATTGTTCGGTTGGTGGACCTATTTGTAAAGCTGGTTGATTACAAGCAAATCCAATTTTTTCCTTTGTTTTGTTTTTTCCGTCAATCTTGTTTTCCGTGCGAGCACCAATGCTACCGACGTGCCAGGAAGGCAGCTCCCACACCTGGACCCTACCTATCGACCCATCAACTCATGAACCGGGGACCAACGGCTTTACTTCCCATCCAAAGGAAGGCGTGATCAGAGATGTTATGCCTCAGAACATCCCGGCGGCGCCGACTGGGATTGAACCCAGGCCTACTGGGGTGAGAGGTAATCACGCTTACCACTACACCACCGGCGCCGTTATGCAAATCCAATGTTATTATCATTAATTTATTTCAAGCCATTCACTCAAAACAGTCCTTATTGATATTTCAAAATATCACAACAGTTTCTGATAACTTGTGTTTTTCAGACCACGGAGATCCACTGTCTCACAAGCTCGCTTATCTCACATACGCCTGTTGGTATACACGGAACCCATGTTGTTCACGGAGCACGATCTGAAAACCAAGGGCTTTTAGAATCAATGTTAGAACGTTTCCAATAGTAACAAAACGGGATAATTCGTTCCGATCTCAATCAGAGGAATTGTAGTCCACTTCTAGATAAACACGTTCGGCAGGAAGCAAAGAGATGTGGCTCTCCGGGAACAAAAAGTACAGGGCGGATGGTGTGGAAAGCCTGATTCAGCTTCGATCAGCCTAAATCACTTCAGTTATCGTCACACGATCAAGATTCTTTTGACGTTGGATAACGTCTTTCGGCAACATACGGGGGTACAAAATTGAAAACAGTCATTTTGGATGCGTTACGAAAAATTAAAAGATTTTGAACGATAATAACTCAACCGTCTCTCAATAGATTTACGAGATAATGGCATCAATCGATTGGAAATAATTCTAGCAATTTGCTGAATGTTTCAAAACTTTTGATTTCATTCTGTAAACTATTGAAAAATGGTTAAAAGTAAACCATTGTCTAAAGATGGTGAAAATCGATTGATTTTTTAAATTCTTATACTTTCTCCAACCGAGACATCAGATGCGAGTATCTGACACCTCTGATATTTTCTGTTATACTATATAAGCGTCTAACAAGGTCACCCGTTCCATCATTGTCAACAACATCAGCCCAACAAAACGGCCCTTTTCAGGGCCACCAAACTTTCGCAAAAGAGTTATTAAGGAATATTCCTAAAATATAATATACACAATTAAGTACAACACATAACAGACGTTATCCAACGCCAACCCTGCGGTCGTATCTAGTATACAACCCTTGCAACGTTTTTTTTTTGGGAGCGTGTTATTCGAAATGTTGATTGATTGATTGATTTATCTTTATTAGGGAGGCTTTCAGACTGGGGCTGGTTCGCCACCAACTTCGAAATGTTGAAGAATTTCAGGCCTGCGGACTATCAGCACATTAAGTTCCCTGGTCAAGATATGCACCTAAACACAAAGATCCAATTGAAATAAACAAGCAACGAGTAGAAGATTCGCATGGCTATCAGATATACTGATCCCTGTAACATGGTAAACGGATCACGGTTAGTGATATAATTCAACCAAGGCGTGGACTGCTTGAAAGTACAAGCAGAATGCGTGACATCATTCAATTAGCTCCAAAATAGTAGCCATCATCACATTACATGTGCCTTAAAGGTAGAAGTAGGTATAAAGAGAAGATATTTAGAAAAGGATGAGTACGCTTCACATTTTCACACAAAATCCCAGACATTATATAAACAAACAAATTAAACTTGTCTAGCGATGATGGTAATAAACTGACACTAAATATTTACGGCCGACTGGATGCAGGGCATCTTAGTGAAGGTCCCAAAGAAGGGGGATCTGACTGTGTGCGACAATTGGCGAGGCATCATGTTACTGTGTATTGTTCTCAAAGTTCTGTGTAAAGTTATCCTGAATCGGATACAGGAGAAGATCGACGCGACTCTCCGACGG